AATATGCGGGCAAGAATCAGTCTGGAGATAATGAGGTTAGTTCAATCAGGGAGGGTGAGGCCCTCTTCTGGCAGTTGAGGTGATTGAACTAACCTCATTATCTCCAGACTGATTCTTGCCTGCATATTTATACCTGCCTCTGGAAATTTCCATAACATGCATCTGATGAAGTGGGTATTCACCCACGAAAGCTTATGCTCCAATCATCTGTTAGTCTATAAGGTGCCACAGGACTCTTTGTTGCTTTTTACAGATCCAGACTAACACCGCTACCCCTCTGATACTTTCCTTAAAGAGGTAAACATACATGATGATGGGACAGGGGAAACAAAACACACACAAAAAGATTTTTCCAGGATTAAGGCTACCAAAGCAAGTTTGCACACTGCTAAAATGACATATTTGAAATAAAAAGATAGCAATGTATTTAATATCCTCCCCGCCCCAATCAATCAAGTCACTAACATTTTTGATAGCTGCTCAGGGAACCTTGATGGGAAGTGTTTCACAGGAAGAAATTCCAGATACTTAAAAAGAGTATTCCATGGCAATTATTTAAGAGTTCTATTACAAACAGAAAAGGGTTAAAATGACAAAGAATGACAGATAAAATTAGTGTTTGCAGTGTTGTTGCAGCAATGTTGGTCCCAGGAGACTAAAGGTAGTATCTTTTATTGGACCAACTTCTGTTGGTGAAAGAGAGAAGCTTTTGAGCTACACAGAGCTGAAGAAAGCTTGTCTCTTTCACGGACAGAAGTTGGTCCAATAAAAGATTTTTCCTCACCCACCCTGAGTCTCAGACAAGATTAGTGACAGGCCATAGGATACTTTTAAACCTCATGGGTTTATATTCTTTACATTTAAATGTACTTTTGAACAGTTTATTTAAAGGACCCCTAACTAAATGGCTCAGACTATAAAGAGTTGTTTTTGAGGAGGTGGGGGGATGGAGGTCATATTTGTTTGTGGCAGCATACTGGAACTCTCTCAGAGAAAGAAAAGTTCAATATATATTTTTAAATTTCTCATTTTGTCCCTTACCCCCAAACCAGCTACCACACCTCCCCCACCTCACACATACATACATACATACATACATACACACACACACACACCCCATTCAGCTAAACTAATATTACAGTTTTCTGCTTCCCCTTTTGATCTAGAGGGCAGGGTGGATTTGATTTAAATCACTAGGCAGGAAGACTGGATGTAATCATGGATTTCTACATAAAAGTGCATTCTTGTTGGTTGTTATAACCTTAATTCATATTCTTCACAACTCAGAGATAGATGTAGGTTTCATTTTTAGAAGGTACACACTATACATTTTTAAGTGATTTATTTTGAAAACTTTTCAGATAAGTTTTACAGCTATATCAGAAAATGAATGATTGTTTGGTTATTTCATTTACCAAAGGTAATTGAAACAGATATTTATGAAGTCATTGGGAGGTGAACTATCTCCAATTCAACAGGTTAACCATTAATATTTGGAGGATTTTCTTGCCATTCTGTATTAGGAAGAGAACATCACCAGACAGACATTTAAATTGTTTTATTTAACTAAAACAACGTTTTGTATTCTGGATTTTTTTCTTCAACAGCAAACATATAATATTTTAACAAAACAAGTATATGAATTTTTGAATTTAGTTAAATATTCAAGTTTTTTTAAAATCAGGTTTGTTTTTGTTAAAATTGTTTTTAACTAAAATTGTTAAATGAAATATTTAAAAAAAAATTAAAATCGACTATGTCAGCCAGGTCAACATGAGAAACTTAAAATATTGGCTTCTGCAGCTAACTCAGTTGTCTTCATTTTCTTGTTTGTTCATAATCTGGAAAAGAAAAACAAGCTTTCCTGCTTTTTCAGGTCCCAAACGATTTTTCAATTTGGAATGAATTAGTCCAAAGGAAGAAAATATTTTTTCTACACCGTCAGAAGAAGCTACTGCTGTTAAAAGTGAGATTATCACTTCAACAGTCTCTGAATCCAAGTGCTTACGTGACTTCCACCAGTTCACTGGTGTGACTTTCTTTAAAACATCATCAGCAAACATATATTTCTTGAATGGTTCACCCTTAGCTCTGAAGTTTATTATAGTTGGCATTATGGAGGGATGATTGCTGGATGTCCATGTCATAGTCAACTCCTCTTCTTCAGCAGTTAAGGTTTGACCCTGGTACCAAGTATTGAGAATATTTGCAAGAAAATGAGCTGGAGATAGTGCTTGTCCCATTCGTTTTTTTAATGCTTGTAATTTAACTCTTCCATTCCATATTTCTCTTTTTAAGATCTCACTCACTTCCTTCCAAATTTCAACAGCCTCAGCAATAAAACAGCTATTTCCCTGCATTTTGTTCAAGGCTACAGAAATGGGCTTCAAGGTACTCAGCATGTGTTCAACATTTCTCTTAAGCCCAATGCTGAGAACTTTGGCTGTGACAGTGCCATCTATTTTTTCACAATTTTGTTCAGTTTCACAAACTGTCATCAGATTAGGCCAGTTCTTGATATAGTGCTCTAAACAGTCCACTACTGAGTTCCATTGCACATCTTGTAGAAGAGTTAGCTTGGTTCCTCCCAATTTTTTCAGAGTAGCTGCTGCAAAGTGGTTGTTACGGAAGTATTTTGCAATTTCAACATTAACCTTTATTTCTGGAACACTAAAGTCTTTGGCTAGGAGGTGCATCAAATGAGCACTGCAACTGTGTTATTAGCTTGGGACTCTCTTCACTTTCTTCTAAATAATTTCTTCTCATCTTGGATACATTTGCAGCATTGTCTGTGACCAAGCTACGTTCTAGACATTTGAATTTTTTTTCCACAGTTTGTTATAGCTTTTACTGCTACTTCTTGCAAGTATTCTACTGTGTGTGCATTTCCTCATGTATCAATTGTTTCTGTAAGGAAGACATTCCCTTCTTCTATTATCACACAAGCACATTCAACAGGATCATTGTGGATATTGCTCCACCCATCAAAACTCAGGTTAACAATTTTACCCGCTAACCTTTTGCACAATGCTCAATTTCTTTTTCATACACTTTTCCAGCAATTTGCCTGCTCTGTTGGGTGGACTGTATCCTGGTCTTAATGACTGAACCATGTTAATGAAGTGTGGGTTCTCAATCATACGGAAAGGAGAGTTTGTTGCATAAACAAACCAGGCAATTTTTTCATCCATTACCTCTTTCTGTAATCTGCTGGTTCTTATCACATACTCATCTATGGTTGTTTCTGGATGATGGAGGGTTTTTTTCTTTTTGCTACAAGTGATATACTGTGGCTATGTGACATACATGATGTGACTGAAACACTATCATTGGCAGATTACTCTAAAACTATAAAAATGATGGTGAGCTTGAAGGTGGATAGTCTTCAGAATCCTGTATGTTGAGGATGGATTCTCCTAAACAAAATAGGTCAATGCAGTTATTTAATTACTATTACCATACTGCTCATTTAGTATTACTCATTGCATTCATTGACACTCAGTACTACTTTAAAGGTGAAATTGTAAAAGGAAGATCTGCCTATTCCAGTTATTTATTTTTTTATCACAACTGCATCTAAAATTATAGTACTTAAGGCAGTCCTTAAGAAAGAAGTATAAAATAAAAATGTTTACCAACCTGAAGATCCTGCATGCTCAGACATGTTCCTTTCATCATCTTCAACGCAGCTTCCTCCTGAGAAGGAACACTTCTCATGATGTTGTTTCATTCAGGCGTTGCATTTCTTTGTTGCACTATTTGCATTTTGCATGCATGCCTGTCTTACCCACCAACTTCATTAAAATATTCCCAAACTGGGTCTCTTTTACGGCCTGCTGCCATTATTGGTTTTCCCTTCTAGTGAGAGAATGGTATGGGAGATCTCAAAATCAATGAAGGCTACACTCAGAAAGACCTCAAGATTTCTGGAATATGCTGCTCAAACACCTTCACTTTTGTTTCTACTGCCTGTCCCTCCCTTCTCACATTTATCTCCAGAATTCTTCTCCTTGTCCAGATCTATTCTGCCCACAAATAATCTTTTATTTATTGGACTTTTTGAAACTTTGCACTTTTAGAGAGAGGTAAGGGATTGACTCTGTTTACACAAATTTGCAGAGGGACAATAGGGCTGAGGTCTGTTATTTCTCACCTCTATATATTATTTATTTATTTGAAAACATTTTTGCTGTTAACAAGCATGTTATCTCTGGAGACACAAATCCACAGTTTGAGATCTGTAAAACTAAGCATCGCTGATGGTATCTTCTGGACTGAGCACTAGTCCCATTGGGCAGATAGAAATATTAACCTAAATAATCTATACAGAAGCCCCTGGAACCCCATAAGATTGGGTCCCCAATCCATGAACTATTGGAACTCATTTACAAATCTTTTCTTAAACATTACATGAATATATTGTCTCATACTATAGAATTAGAATTTATAATCCCTATTCCATGATGAAATATCTTTGAGCTATAATGTATCTTAATTAAAACTATCTTTAGATAAAATGCTTTTTGAGGACAAAATCTATCAAAAAATCCAATTTAAATAAAAAAATTATTTTAAAAAAATTTGATTTTTAGCCACCCTGCTAGAGGGAAGTACAGCTGTTATTTGCCATGGGTGTACATCCCATTTCCCATCTAGTTTACTAAGTACATTGTTTTCTATATCTTATTATTAACTCAAATGTAAATTACTAACCTAAATAATTATTCTAATCACTTAAAAAATGATGTTCTGCATTTTAAAACAAATATACTGCTTGCCAGGCAGTGGCATATACAAGAAACCATCATGTGTTAGTAGATCCAAGGGCAACACTCTTCTGCTCCATCCCTCACATCTGTGACATTAGACTCATTTTATCTAACGATATATCAGGTCCCGTCTATACAACAACAACGATGACAAGAAGAGTTATTAAAAACAAATAAAAAAAACAGTTTGGTCCCATTCTGGAAAGAAGCTAGTTGATTTTCAAAAGCCATTTTAACCTTTTCCCACAACTAGGCAGTAATGTAGTCTCAGGATTGGTTTTCAAGAGCCCTTTTAACCAAATTACGCCTAACCTGTTCTGGCAAAAAAAAAAAAAAAAAAAAAAAAAAGTTTCCTGTTCCTGCCTTTTTTGTAATGTAGATGGGATGTAAGTCACTTCAAATAGCTACATGTTATTTTAGTGCAATCCAAGAATACCAGAAACACATAGGCCTGGAAAACTGGTATTGTGGACTGATTCTTTTCTGCCCCTCCCCACCCCAACTCTGACCAGCATATATCCACAGAAAATTTCTCCCTAATGATAAAATGAGGATAGAATATATTCTGAACACAAATAAAAGAAGCAACAGAATACAAGCAACAAGCGTGATTTCAATGGAATCACCTGACAAATTTATTCTAAAAATTCAATGTACTGCTGTATTTGAATGCATCTAATGTTTCTGTTCTAACGAAGTTGCACACTAACGTGCAGCATATGGTCAAGTATTCTGTTGTTCAAACTGTAGAATGCATTTTGAAATAATAAAAAGTTATCCCAAGTATGGAAGCATCGCAACCCTCTTAATTCAATTTAGTTGAAAATCCGCACAAAAACCTTGGTGTCAAGATATTTTAAAAATGCTTTTTTAAAATAAACAGCATATTTTAAATGCCAGAAAAGTAAATAATTTCTGCTCTCCTGCCCCACTCACACCACGCACATTTACACATTTTCGTAGTTCTACTGGAAATTCATAGGGCATCAAAAACCTACAATGAGTCCTCTTCTTCTATCATCTAAAGCAGAGGTTCCCAAACTTATTTGGCCTACCGCCCCCTTTTCAGAAAAAAATTACTCAGTGCCCCCCTAGAAATCTACCTTCCTTAAGT